AAAAAGTAAAAACACACAATTAAGAGGTTCTCTAACAATAGGAAAATTCCGTCAGTTCCAGTTATTACAATTTGTTTATAAACTCAAGTGTATCATTTTTTAAGTTCTATATAGAAAATACTCGTTTATGATATTTACATACGAAGACATATTAGGAAAAATATACTTTTGCGAATAGTTTAAAATATAGTTATATAGTAAAATCTAACATTCGAACTTTAGGATGTCTACTGATACAATTATATTTAGACTTCTTATATCCGATGTCTACTAATTGAAGAAGCAATGTTTCATTTTTCTTTCAATTTTAGTGTTTTTTCATAATAAAATATAATACAATCTCTGGCCGTAGAAGTGAATAGTGAATTTTGCTAATTGTTTTATGAAGAAAGAGTCTTGTAGTGGAATCTTGTTAAATATCTTGATTAATTAAATAATTAAACTCTCTTTTCCATCAAGATATCTAGTTGAATGGCTCTAATGGTCTGATTAACAAATATTTTTTTCCCTTAAGCATAATTATTGGTTCATTTAGTCAGGTCATATTACATGACATTATTCCTACTTTATTGAATTACTAACCAACAAAATTAGGCATCTAATCACCAATCAATGGGCTTTGCTTGCTGAGTTTTAGAAAGATTAAATCAAGGGTCACATACACTAATTGACAACCACCAAATTTAGATAACATACCAAACATAAACTTTTCAATGAATCTATCAATATATTTTCATTGTATGGTAAATAATTTTAAACTAAATACTTGTATGATAAAAATAATGCCCAGTTCGAAATATGCAAAAACAAATTTTAAAATGAAAATATTAAAAACAAGCATACATGCAAACGGGTGACGTTGAAAATCGTCTCCCTTACTATATAGTCTACTTGATAATTCAAAATTGGGTAAAAACACTGAGATTATCGTAGCATGTGAGAAAGTACAATTGCGAAAGATATAGTAATTGAATTTTAATTCAGACAGAAATCGTACGATATAATTACTAAAACAATTATCTTAAATGAACTATCCTTCCAAAATCTACACAAGACAATATCAGCTTGACATCGTGTGAAACATCTAAATTAGACGATGTGACTCAAACGCTCGAAACTTGGTGCAGGCATAAAAGTAGGAGATAAAAGACTCCACACAAATGCATAAGATGATTTATATATAAATTCAACTAAATAGGCATGTTGGGATCGCTTCTTCTCCTTTTTTTGTAAAAGAGAATTTGGATCAACTTCCTTTTAAATCTTTGTTAATTAACAAAGTATTTCCAAAATTATCTAAAAATTTCTTAATTTCAGAAATTGCTTTTAACTTTTCAGAAATCCTGCCAACAGATCTTTATTAAATGTAAAAATAATACTTAGACAAGGGAAAAATGAAAATTTTGATAATCATGTAAACATTAAGTTTTATTTTATGACGCACAAAGTATACTCTTGTGCGTCATGCGTGTATCAATAAAAGTATTAAACTTTTCAATTATGTTCTATTATTAATCAAAAGATGTAGATTCAGGTAAACTATATTATAATCAATTGCAGAATTAGGTAAAACAAAAAAAATTAACAGCGAAAAAACTAACCTGCTTATAAGTCAAATAATTGCTTTTGATAGTATGGATATATTAAGATACTAAAAATACCTAAAAGCATTGGACTTTTGAATGTTTACAGAATAAAGAAATAGCATGAGATTATTGACCTAGTTCAATTGGGACCATTTACATGTGACATAAATTATGGTATTTTGGCATTGTTATAGGAAGTCTTTATCAATCAAGCAGGTTATCGGTTAGGTAGGAATGTCAAGCGAGACAGAATTGTTTAAGTGAAGCGAGTCATTTATTGGTTCGGCTAACCCCATAAATGAGCAGAGCTGGCTCGATTCATATTGTCGAGCAACGAAAAATTTGTGCAAGCCACTTGTTGGCTAAGCCAAGTCGGCTCAAAAGCTCATCGTTTTGTCATTTGTTTGTGAGGTGACTCGTACTTGGTGGGTAAAGATACAATTTTTAGTAAAAAAAAAAAAATATTTAAAGAACTGAATCAAGACTTTTGGAAAACAAGTCAGCTCAACTCAAATCGTCCCCATATACAAGCGCGAACTAGCTTGCGTGGTGGCCTGAACCAAACCCAATAGTGGATAAGTCGAACAGAGCTCGGCTCAACCTTTTTGGCATCTCTACTATTAGGTGTGTATGCTGAAAAAATTAAAGATTCTTTAGATGTTGCCATTTTTTCAAAATTACAAGAAATTTTTTAATAAAATACATTCTAAATAATTTCAAAAGTTCCTTTCCACATTTATTATATCATATGATGCAAATTAGTCGTTTGATAAAAAGGCACGTACATTAAGTCGAAGGAAGACTGGTTCAAAGGTTTCAATTTGGCAATTTGTTAGTTGCCTTTTGTATAGTTAAAATTATTTTTATGGAGATTGGACTGAAGAAAGAATGTCACTTGATTATTATCAAATTGACTACAATTTTTTATATTTTTTTTTGCTATTTGTGAAGATTTTATCAGAGTGTGGATTCCAAGCAACTAGATCATAAGTGATCCCAAGATGAACCCCTCTTGCTAATTACACTAACTAATTAAGCGATCCAAACTTGAGACGGGGTTTGAAAATAGAGAAAATTTTCGCTCTATGGTACATTGAATTCGCTCTGGTAAGTATTTTCTTTGTTTAATACTCTTTTTTCTGCTTCGGAGTCGCTTCTCAAATAGTTTCAAACCCTCTCAGTCATCAATGCACTCAAGTTCCGTCTTGTTTTCATGTTCTCACCAAAAATATGATCTAGCTTTATGATAGTCATATGCACAACTAAAACAAAAGTTAGCATAACATCAACTTAAAATTACCAGCAATTAAATTCAATTAAGCGCACGTGAAACTTCCACTTATCAATAACATTACAATAAGCATAGATAGAATTGGTCCAAACCAGTAACACAATTGAATCACTGTTAAATTATTAAATCTCTAATATATAATATTTAAACCTGATTTGTCTAAGTTAGTGATCTATTTAAACTTAAATAAACTGAGAAACCATTCAAAAAGGTTTTCTTCTATCATCTGTCCTATCTGCTCCACTTGGAATGTTTTGAGTTTGTCAACTTTTTCATTTTTAAAACACCATTATTTTATAATTCATTCCACAAACTTATAATCAAAACAAAGCAATATATTCTTCATACAGTCTCTCTATTGGCTTAGTATGAAACTGATTTAATCTTCTAATGTGAAAAGTACTCAAGTTAGATTCTATCATTAGTCAGAAATTGTTGACCTGTTGTTAAAACTTATTTAAGCATTCCTTGTGCAAGATGTTTTATAATAAACTCTTGCCACCAACTGTCATGAAGTGCAAATCGGTTGTGCTAGATTTGCACGATTTAATTTCGAAGATGTTCATATCAGGTTTCTTGACCCCACAAGTCCAAAATTTGTACACCTTATCATATAGTCTGTGGAAGGATTCACTTATAATGTAGGGATCAAGTGTGTCTACTAACATAGTCTCGTGTTGAACTTGTCAACATCGAGTCGCCCTTGATCCAACACGTGTAAAATTATCTAGACCTCACATGGCTGATAGACCATCAGCGCAATGCTAGCCGTGGAGCTCAGCACAACTCAATTTTAGAGGAATTCCTGTGGACCTGACCCGACATACTTTATACATCGACGCAGAGTCAGTTCAGCCATGACTGAAATGGCTACTTTAGTAAAGAAAAAGAAAGATCTTTCGTTGCCTGGTTATTAATTTATTATGTTCATGGATTATAATTTAACACAAATTAAGAAAAGTAACAAGCAATCATTTGTTAAAGAATCTATAAAATATGAGCGGTTGACGGGGTCATGTAGCAATGTTCTCCTTTCTTTCATATTCTTTAGCATCTTTTCAGTGATTGTGGTAGTTCATCAGTCAAGGTCATTGAAAGACTCCTCCCCTAATCTAATACACCGAGAGAAAGAGATTGTGGTGGGTGGGTTCAGTTGAGCTAAGTGGGACAAAAAAAGATGACAGCCTGAAAGGAAGGAGTGAGAACAGATAATATAAAGAGAGAGTCAATTGAAGTATACGCAACAGTGTCAAAATGAGCCGGTCCCATGCCCAGAGCGGCTCGGCCCTATAAAAAGCTTGGCACCAGACCGGCTGAAGCCCATTTGAACCACGAACTTATCATAACAGTTTGGAAATCTTGTTTCTCCTTTAAAAGAATTCCAAAATCAATCTTAATCTTAGATAAGGTGCCAATGAAACTATTAAGACGTGCAAGTCATCTTCTGTCTCGTTCATAGTTTCATCAACAAAGCAAACCACACACCATGTCCTTCTTAAAAATTTAGTGCAGTGCAGGTTCAAAACATGCCATGTACTAATCTTTTCCTGTACCCAGTAGAGTAAAAATGCAAAAACTTAAAAAAGTTGTGCAACGCCAGAAATTTGTTTGATTTGTGAAAGACTTTTATCATGTGCAGAAAGTTCCAATCCTTTATGGATTCTCAGAAATAAGTCTACTATAATCAATGCAACAAAGAACTCTAGCATGAAATTCTGGAACTCGAAAAGACAATATAATGAACAAATTTTATCTTGTTTTTCATCTTGTACCATCCAATCGTCCCTAGTAAATATAAGAGAAGTGAAATTCCTAACCAATCTAAGCATTTCACAAAAGTTACGCCAAAAATTTTAGTAGATAAATGTCTACAGTGGTTTAAAATCTGGACTGACCCCTCTATCATAAAGAAATTGATTAAACCTTTGCCATGCAAAGATTGCCAAGCTTCTGTATCAGTTTCTGGAGGGAACTGAGTCAAAAAAGTCATTGTTTCTTTCCTACAAATGCCCGTG